TTCATGAACCTTCAACTGTCTCGAAGCATACGCAACTACCTGTTGATTCTGCATTAGAACACCACCTAATCCCATCAGAGATGCATCACAATAAACCACAAAAGATTCCGCCGGATTCGGCAAAATCAGAATAGGAGCACTAGTCAACCTCTTCTTCACCTCTTGAAATCCTTATTCACACTTAGAGTACCAATATACTTTGGACCCTTTCTTACTTAGGATCAACACAATACCATCACAGAAATCACATGGCCACGAGAATTAACTTTACTTAACCAGGATACATATGAAATCACTTATTAAAATAAGCTCTTAAAGCTACTTAATTCCTTATAATCATATAGAAAATTTCACTAGATTTCCAACGCATCAAACGGCGCCTAAATCGGAGTTACGGTTCAAAAGTTATGGCCGAAACGATTTTTGGGAAAAACCTACCCGAGCATCAACACAGAAGATCAACACGGGTGCCCGTGTGCATCAACACGACCCGTGTTGATGACTCTGCAACATCATATTTCACGTTTTTATGCTTCCCAAAATCACCCCAACTCATTCCTAATCATCCCCAAACATCCTAAAACCATCAAAATCGAATTCCTACCATATAGCAATGATCTAAGGCATCCAATAGGATCAATACCACATCAAAACACCAATCAATTCCCAACACGAGATTTGTAATTACTCCATCAGTCCTTATCCTGAATTGAATAAACCAGAAGGTTTACAATAACGTCACACATATTCTTATACGCCACAACATTCAAGTCTAGACTTCATTTCTTATGAATTATTTACTTGTCTAACAGAACTATTGTATCGTCAGAATCCATACATGTTCTCACTTCCAATCATGGAAAACCAATCTTCTCTCTCGAATCCCCGCTACAGGGAAGCATATCCATCACACTCTTAGCCCACGATATTCACAAAACAACCAAGTCCAACTAATACCAACCAATCCAGTTTAACACGAAGGTAGACTTCATAATTCCACAAGTACTCCACATTCTCAATATATCATCGTTTACTCTTGTTGGACCTTAGTTCACACTTACAGAACTACTGCTAGCTTCAGAATGTCACTAGGAATTCATAAACCACTAATACAACACTATCTGTCGCTACACCTTCACTTTCTAGAGAAGTACTCTCCAACTTCACTTGATCGTTCTCTTATCGAACCATCTCAATTTGATCAATACATCGAGACCTTTAATTGGTATTCTTTCAGATATCAGAATCCGTATCAACTTCTCATATCCATCTTAAAGCAATTGGCTTCGCTCTACCAAGTTCATACGCATACTAACGAAACTAGCAAGACATGTCTATCACATCTTTACTGACTTCATTAGCACTGCATACAACTGATGCACAAATCCATGAGATAAATTCCACCTAAGTAATGCTCTTACCTCTGAATCCTCTTCAGGACTATGAACAATGCAGTCTATACCATACTCATACTCTTACCATTTTCCTCACGTCGAGCCATTACTTAGCATCCAGAAGCACCATGGAGAAGTACCAACTTCTCCCCCACTTATCGCAATCTTATCCCTGCAATCAAGTGATCCAAAACAAAGAAGTACCAACAGTGTTTTCAAACACTTATTGCGTACCAAGGGTAATGACACTGACATAACAACTTGGCCGGACAGACCGACCATGCTCTGATACCACTATTGTAACACCCTCTAAAAACCCCGAATAAATTTTTGCGAATAATTAAAATTATAATTTCAGAGTACATGTATCAACGAGGATGTCACAATTCTCTTTTAATAAAAACAAGTTCCTGTCATGCATAACATAGAAGCAACTCATACATGTTTACACAGCGGAATAATTTAATTAACAAAACCAATGTTATAATATTTTCAAAATCATCAGGGATTAACACCTGGAAAATATCAACATCATATTATAACAACGTAAGGAAATAAACGAGTCTGACTAAAGCAGCTCGACAAACAAACGTTCCCGGAGTTACAACTATCAGAGCATGACCCGGACAATACTTAAACGGAAATAACTAGAAACAACAAGCCTTCGCTAAGCACCTGAACGAAGCTCCTCAATCTGAAATATTCAACAGTAAGGGTGAGCATCTCAACTATACATTTGATTATACGTTCATAACAATCAACTCAGGAAACCATAAGCATCACCCAACAATTAGCATGTTTTATAGATTACAAAAACCTTTACAAATCATATATTCATAATATCTGACTTTTCATGCTTATAATTAACATCAAACATCGTTAGCAATTTAGTATCAATACATGCATACAATCGATCAAATACAACATTGGAAAAATCATCCATTCATGTCATATTCAATGTAATGCAACACACCCATGCATGTGGTACCATCTTACCGCCCCATTAAATCTCGGGTCACGGATAACTCACCGTTCCATTATATCGCGGACACGGCTACCACCTCAACGTTCCATTAAATCGCGGACACGTATATTGGCCACCATGTTAATTCCACACAATGGGAATTAACAAATGCAACATGATATGTAAAGTATGTAACACTCAGCATACTATTAACATCAATCGACATATCATGCAACATCAACAATATCAAATATAACATGATCTGAATAGCATGTAATCACTCAGCATACTATTAAACATCAATCATATCAAGTTATATCATAATTCATGCTTGATAACATCATCTAAAAGCACGACAATAAGATCCACATAATGTTGGTATCATAACATACAATCGTTATTCGATACACACATCAATCAACACTAGGAAATCGATAAACACATATTCAAAAACATGTCAAACACTGCACATCAAAACCGGATCAATCCGTACTTAACAGCGTGCACAGAAAACATAGTTTAAAAACCAACACAGGAGGTTTAACACGGGTGCCCGTGTAAAACAACACTGCCCGTGTGGAAATGTGTCCAGAAAACACGTTTTTTTGACAATACAGGGGATCAACACGGGCGCCCGTGTAAATCAACACGGCCCGTGTTGAATTGTGCCCAGAAAACCCATTTTTATGCCAACACAGTGAATCAACACGGGCGCCCGTGTTAATCAACACGCCCGTGTTGAATTGTGGCCAGAAAACACATTTTCATCAGCATTACAGTGAATCAACACGGGTGCCCGCGTAAATCAACGCGCCCGTGTTGATGAGTGCGAACCCAATTTTTCTGTTTTTGCAGCAGCTCATATACCCATATTTTTGCACGAAAATACCTCTCTACGGCGGTGCAATATAGTACAAAGACATCCAATCCATCATAGGAACCTAAAATCCCTAATTGATTCATAAAATCGGGAACTTAAACCTTTTCTAACAAAGTTCAATCCTAAGGGTATCGATCCCTAATAACATCTAATAATTGGGGTTTCTCCCTACGATTACCCAAATCAACCGTACATAAACCCATAAGCAAAAGTAAATTGAGTATTAGCCCCCCTTACCTTATCAATTTGCAGCGTTGAACTCTTTGAGCGATGTTCTTCGTTCTTCGTACCTTCAGAGCTCTACTTCCCAAATTTCCCAATTCTGTGTTATCGTGAATAATGAGAAAAATAACTTGAGTTCCAAATCATATCCTTATTCCTTTTGCACCCCCACTCTTTACTAACAACATCCAAGCCCAATAACTTAAAAACCCAATATTTCTTATTTCTTTTATTTTCTTCAAATATTCCAAAATAAATAATTTCTTTTTATTTTATTAATTCTAATAAAATAAATTCCCAATTAAATAAATCAAATAATTAAAACTGGGGTGTTACATTGTTGATGTGGATTCAAGATTATGGTGATGGTGGTGGTGATGTACTTTAAAGATTGAAGGTTTGTTAAAGTTTTGGTGGTGTTAATTAAAGTGGCGGTGGACGATGCGCGATGAGGATGATAAAAGAGAGCGAAGTTAGGGTGCTGTAGTTTTGGCTTGAACGTGATTCCGTGATGAATGATCAAGCATGTAATGTGTTGAGAGTGAAGGAGAGAAAACGGTTGAAGATGGCGAAAAGATGAAAATCTTGTTCTGTGATTTTGATGATTCTACCGAATATTTCCAGATTCTCCAATTGGTGAGTTTCTTGAGACTTTTCTGTGTTGAAATACTGTAATGAATCTGACTGAATGATGATATCCTCTTCCTCTATGAATTTCTTCTCTCAATTTGTCTCCCTCTACTCCAGTTCTTCCCGGATTCAACATCCTTTCAATTCCGGTTCATCCTCGAATGCTCATGTCTCATTCACAACCACAAAGCCGAAGAAAAAAAAAAGGAAGAATATATGTGAAGAATATGATAGTGAAAGATCTTACTGAATGGAGAACACCCAGTAGCTCTCCGATGCCATACGAGGAAACCAGGGGTAAATCAGGTAATCGAAATTATTTCTGTGACTCACTTCTTTTTCAGCAATTCTTCTTTGTGTCTTCTGCGAATCTGAACTTTGATGTGCGTTGAAATTATTCTAGATGTAGATTATTGCGATGATGCTGAGACGAAGGATAATCGTTGATGTGTGAACAATGTTGAAAGTCGCTACATATTGGAGAAGGTGATGGAGCATGGTGATGATGGATATTGAATATTTGATGAAGATGATGCAAGATTGCTGAAGATGATGGGGAATTGCAAAGAGATAAGAGGATGAAGATTGCGGCAACTCTCAAAAGAACCAAGAAATCCCCCATTATTGATGACAGATCTAGTTTATATAATCAGTCAGGATCTGCAAAAGTTTGTTAGAGGTAAGTGCATATGAGCCCTTGGTTTGAATTAGTTGGTTAAGTAATTAATGGTTGAGATGAATTCGGTTAGAGCAGTTAGCTGTTAGTTTTGGTTACAAGTTAGTTGGATTGAAATTCTGTTAGTTTTTTTTTGCTGGAAGTTAATTGCAGGGCTATTTAGAGAGTTTGTTGGAAGTTGATTATGGGTTGGTTAAAAGCTGTTAAGAATTCTGTTAGAGGTTTAGAGGGCTGTTAGAAAAAATTTGTTCGACAGTTAGGAAAGTTAGAAATTATGTATTGTGATACATATCCCCACATATGCATTTGCATGTTATTGTATCTGTTGAAGGTTTTGCAGCAAGCTGGACAAGAAAACTGTGTAGGCCCGATTAGGATCTGAGAAGGTGTAGGGATCCAATATTGACCCCTGTTCGGTGATGTATTACTACTCATCAAACCATAAGATGAATCGTCACTTATAAGATCTCCTTGTTCTTTAACAGCCACCTTATTATCATGGGGATACCACAGTGCTCTAGGCCGGTGAAAATTTGTAATATCTTTATTGCTCAAATTCAATTTTATGGTCTGCAGTTTCAGTGCAGGTTGCGAGTGAAATTTTTTGACATCGTGAGCAGAGCTCTTTTTTTTTAGTTTGATTTCAGTTGCTGAGAAGTTTTTCTGATTTGTATAATGTTTGTCATTAGCAACGTGTATCCATCCATATTGACCTCTGTTTTGTGATATAACCTTGGTCAACCGCTTTGCTTGACCACTTTGATTATGATTCTCAAATATACCTGCCTTTATTTCATCTGCAAGATGAGAACTGTCTACTTTTAGCCTCAGAAGTTGGGGATGAAATGGATTTTCGGGCATTGAATTGGTTTTAGGCATTATCTCAACTAATTTTATAGTTTGTATCTGATTTTTGTTTTTGTGCAGGTGATTGTTTGAAGAATGCAACAAGTCGGTTCACTTGGGGTATGAGGATTGAAGAATACATGACGATGGCGAACTTTGGGATGGCATGGAATTGGAAGTTTACTCATGGAATTTTAGCACCTTTAGGACTAAAGAATTTTATTCAAGTGCATTTTGTAACATTTTTTTTTGGAATATTGGTGTAATGGGTTTGTAATGATTTTATAATGAATGTTTGGTTTGGATGAACTTGAAATTTATAGTGTGAATTATAAACGATTTTGAGCTTGAAATGTCGGGTGATGAATTTTATGGACGGTATTTAAATGACAAAGTCTTGAAACTTTAACTTTAAAATGCTTGAAGACATGAAAGCATCAAATTTTCTTGTAAGGTATTGTTACACTTGAATGAAATTGAATGGAATTGGATAGTATTTTCTTGAACCATTAATGAAAGGGTTTGAATAAATGTTTGAACGCATTATGAACTTGAATCTGGAATAACGATGAACATCTTTGTAATGTGGATGAACTCCGACTTGAAATAAGACCTTGCAGTCTATACTTTACCTTCCAAGAAACTCATATGACCAATACTTAAGGCTCTTTTCCAATTTTAATCCAATCAAACACTTTCAAACATCTTGAATTCAAATCAAACTTCAAATCCAAATAACACTTGCATTCTCAATGAACTCCTAACTTCAATCTTGAATCCAAATCAACTTGTATGGTAAGTAATTTGAATAGACAATAAGATATTGATCTTTAAAAAAAATTCACAACCTTGCCTTTTGTATCATGCCTCATATTCCACGATTCAATCCACAAGTCTCTTATCTTGACAAAGTCCTTCCCTAATTGATGACCTTAAATCATCAAAAATGGACGTAAATGATAATGAAAGAATATGATCAAGATTAATATGAAACCTTATTTCCCCTGATCTTCAATTACTTGAACATTTATCAATGAATAGAAACCCTGATTTCTAATGAAATTCCCCTTTTTTGAACTAATATTTCTTTTCCTTTACCATACCATTCTTCAAATACAACTCGATTGCCTAACACATATTAGATGAAAGTTCGAGGGAGACCTTGGTCCAAAAGTTATTTGTTCAAAGCTTATTTTAACCGAAGTCAACAGATCTTATCCACGTATCTTGAACTTGAATTACTTTGCATGAATTCTTCCACGAGAAGCCTACTTCAATCCAAGTCTGCTCGCACCGCAGATAACAGATGACAATGATGAGGACAATAATTGCCTTGGTTAAGGAGAAGTCCACGAATTCATATCTTAGGTCATGAACCGCGCTTCACAATTCAACCCCCCAACCCTTAGCGATTGGTTATTTCAACTTGAAATTAGTGCCATAAGGAACATCTTCAAGATAGATGATAAAGTCTCACAATCTTGATTCCTCGGTTTAGATGCACATAGAAATATCCGGATGAAACATCTTTGAACCATGATTCAACAAAACCTGAATTGATTAACTGAAGAGGAGATGAATGTCATGTTACAGTCATTAATCCTAATCAAATGACAAGCATACTTATAGGAAAGGACGCCATGATTCGAAGCCCACATATGCTAGGTCACGTCCTGGAGTTCTTGACCAGAATGACCTACAACCAGTTGTTCATTAGAAGATATTAGCCCAGTAACTTGGTGGAGAAGAAGTCCAGAAATGAGCCTTGAACCAAAAACCCTAGTTCCACAGTCTTATACACCAGGAAGACCCTGAATAATCAGGCTCATTTAACACATACACCTTAAATCAGCTGTAAACCCTAGCTCCCTAACTGCTGGTCTTTTGAACCTTAGTTGATCCATTTTTTTTATGAAAATGCGCGCTATACACATGACCTATTTGAATGATGTAGATGAATGCAAAGTCTAAACCAGAATAAGATAAATTTAGGAGGGCAAATTTTGGGGTGCAACAGCTGCCCCTATTTAATCGCCTTCAATCTGAAGGTGAGATTAGCACCAGCCTTTCGAACTTTCAGGGTGGAGGAAGATTAAATACTAAAAGAACCCGAAAATTTGCGCTCCGAAGCCAGTCAGGTATTATTATATCTTTGGTTTTCTGTATTTTCTGTTTTTATTATTATTTTTTTTGCTAGGTAAAAGAGGTTATCAGGTTAGATGTATGTTTAACCAGGGTTTGACACACAGTAGAATAACTTGGTTATCAAGGAACATCTGTTGGGATTTAGTAACAAACACCTGTAAGAAAGATATCAAAAGATATTTGCCTGAAGTCTGTAGCAGACATACGAAAAAAAGTATCAGAGACACATATCTGGGGTTGGTAGCGGATATACAAGAAAGAGACATAAAAAATACATATCCGTGGTCGGTATCGGACACGTAAGAAAGAGATAGAAAAGATACATATCCGTGGTCGGTATCAGATACGTAAGAAAGAGATAGAAAAGATACATATCCGTGGTCGGTATCGGATATGCACAAAAGAGATATCAAAGATACATATCTGTGGTCGATATTGGATACGTATAAAAGAGATAGAAAAGATACATATCCGTGGTCAGTATCGGATACGTATGAAAGAGACATCAAAGATACATATCCGTGGTCGGTATCGGATACGTACGAAAGAGTCATCAAAGATACATATCCGTGGTCGGTATCGGATACGTACGAAAGAGACATCAAAGATACATATCCGTGGTCGGTATCATATACGTACGAAAGAGATATCAAAGATACATATCCGTGGTCGGTATCAGATACGTACGAAAGAGACATCAAAGATACATATCTGTGGTCGGTATCAGATACGTACGAAAGAGATATCAAAGATACATATCCGTGGTCGGTATCGGATACGTACGAAAGAGACATCAAAGATACATATCCGTGGTCGGTATCGGATATGTAAGAAAGAGACATCGAAGATACATATCCGTGGTCGGTATCAGATACATACGACAGAGACATCAAAGATACATATCCGTGGTCGGTATCGGATACGTAAGAAAGAGATATCAAAGATACATATCTGTGGTCGGTATCAGATACATACGACAGAGACATCAAAGATACATAGAACATATGTCTGGGGTTGGTAGCAGACATATAAAATAGGTATCAAAAATACATATCCATGGTCGGTATCAGATATGTAAGAAAGAGACAGACCGAAGAAAGCCCTTACAAAGATATCAAGAACACATGTCTGGGATTGGTAGCAGACATATGAAATAGGTATCAAAAATACATATTCGTGGTCGGTATCGGATACGTAATAAAGAAAAAGATACATATCCGTGGTTGGTATCGAATACGTAAGAAAGAGGTATCAAAAATAAATATCCGTGGTCGATATCGAATACGTATGAAAGAGACAGACCGAAGAAAGCTCTTACAAAGAAAACACCAATCGAAGGTGAACTTACTGAGGGAAGAGACCAAACAAATGGGACTCCTGACAAATGATACCAGTCGACGATGGATTTTAACAAATGATACCAGCCGAAGCGGGGTTTTGAAAGATACCCGCTGGAGCGGGATTTTGAAAGATACCAGTCGAAGCGGGATTTTAACAAATGATACCAGCCGAAGCGGGATTTTGAAAGATACCAGCCGAAGCGGGATTTTAACAAAGGGTACCAGCCGAAGCGGGATTTTGAAAGATACCAGCCGAAGCGGGATTTTGAAAGATACCAGCCGAAGCGGGATTTTAACAAAGGGTACCAGCCGAAGCGGGATTTTGAAAGATACCAGCCGAAGCGGAATTTTGAAAGATACCAGCCGAAGCGGGGTTTTGAAAGATAAAGGTATGCATATCTGGTCAGAGTTAGATACGCAGGAGTGGAATTGAGCATCAAGAAACAAATGTTTAGAGTTGATAGTGAACACAAGAACGAGACTAACCGAAGAAAGCCCCAATAAAAAGGACGCATTCACCTAAATAAGGATGTTAGACAACTGGACTTTGAAGAGACACTGAAAGACTCTTAATCATAAAAGTTTAGCTAAGCTAACGAAAGGAGGACCCGACTAAAGCGGATAAACCAAAACAAGGAACCGACTAAGCAACACCGATCGAAAGTGGAATTTACAAGAGAAAGGGACTGGTCAAAGCAGACTCTAACGAAAGTTACCATTATACGTTGGGCTTCCGATAGGTTGTAAATACGCAAGAACTAAAAAACCCTCAGGCCAGAGGCGGGGTGTTAATTTTTCAAGAGTGGCAATTGTCTGAATTACCACACACCAAGTATGGATACTCAAACACTTGAGAAGCAAGAAAGGTTATAAGCCAACTCTTACTCACACTCTAACGACAAAGCAAACATGGGTAAAATAACCAAAGGCTTGCAAAGGCAAGCGCAAACCACAAACTTACTGGGGAAATGGAGAAATACCAAAGACCTGACCGGTGGTGAATCAAACAAACTCTGATAAAATTACCATAGGCTTGTCTATAGAGATAAATCAAATCTGAGTGCATAACAGTCTGGTTACCACAGGTGGACACAATTGGCTTATACTCATGCATGTTTGAAATTTTTTTTTAGCGTAATGCTCCATACAACGGAAATGCTACGCGTTTTAGTAGATGCAATGTAATGATGCAAATGTAATGATGCAATGCATTAAGAAAACAGGTCAACAATCAGCTGCTGAGAAGACAAAGAACTTTCGAACGATTATTCTTGCACATCGGATCTTCTGTAGAGAAAAGGCAATCTGTACTTCAATAAGGAACCGAGATTTGGAACTGGCAACCCCTAAATATCGATATCACTGGGGAAATAACTTCCTGGGAAGAATATTGCAAACATAAATTGCGGTTCAGGGAAAATCTTGAATTCTGATCAAACTCCCAACTTCACGGGGAACAAGTTCCTTATCCTCTATTGGAAAGAGGAAAAAAATTGCTGGGAATGGAAACTTCTGGCATAGGAATTTTTTGACGAAGATAGTTTCTGT